TTTAACATCGTGGGTCTGCTCCTCACCGAGTCTTTAACATCGTGGGTGTGCTCCTCACCGAGTCTTTAACATCGTTTAACAACAAAGAGCTTTTATTCAGGCCATTGTTTCTAAATGTTCCAATACTAAAATGAGAGGAGTTACAACCTCAAAAGTATACTTCAGTGCAGTACTTGAGTACAAGTACTGAGGTACTTCCCTCCCCTGCTGTTCTGAATGCTGTCTGTGTGTTTTCCTGTCTGGGTTTCCTCTTTGTGCTCCGGTTTCCTCATGTGCAGGTCGGCTGAACTGGAAACTCCAATTTTGCCCGAAGCTGTGAGTGGTTGTCTCGTGTCAGAATGTACCCTGCCTCTCGCCCCAGTTGCATGCTGGGATAAAAGCTGGATTAGGCAAACCCTAAAGATGGTCCAGTCGTACAGTTCATTCAGAAAGAGGTGCTCTTAGTGAAGTGAAAGTCGGTTTAGAGATTGACAAATAATGAATGACGCCAGTGAAAACACACACACACACTTTCCACGCTAGCAGATCTACGTTGTGCAACTAATGAGCCATTTCCAGTAGTCACTCTTACACACACACACACACACACACACACACACACACACACTCTCTCTATGATGGCTGGAGGCAAACCACTGGATTTTCCATCATGTTCACACCAGCGAACAAAGCGAGTCACAGTCAGAGCTTCACGCTCACTGGAACAAACACACTCTTATCTCCTCCATCACACTGTTATCCACACACACACACACACACACATTTTTATGTGGAACATCTGCTCTTAGCTGCTGTTGGAACGGTTCAGTAACAACACAGTAAATATCAGCATACTTTAAACTGTCAGTTCACTCATATCACAACAACACGGCCGTATACGGCGTGAATATGTGGAAACGTACAACTTTAAACTTCTAAAGTTTTAGTCCGATTTTGGATGGAATTACTTCAGATACAAGGACGCATCGCTCCGTGTTATTATCGCTTATTTCATCCAGCTTTCGTCATGCACAAAAGCAGATTTACAATAAAACCTGGTTCCCTGTAAACGTGGTCAAGAAATCAACGTTGATATTGACCCGTTCAGGCAGCAGTTTATGAGGTGGAAGTGATTTTCAGTTCTTTCCCGTCGTATTAAATGCTTTTTATAGATAATTTACACTTTGATTAGACGTCACAAGCGTCATAGGAACGTGATAAACCCGATTGTGTGCCGAGAGAAGGTGGATTTAACTGTTCTGTACTAATTCAGGCCCATTGTGTCACATGCTTCCTGCTCTTACCAGGACTGCGGTCTGTAAGCTGCACGTTGCACAAGGACGGCCATTGTTCTGGTGGACAGAAGAGATTTCATCTGTGCTCTGGTTTCAGGACGAGGGAACAATTCTCCAAATGTGATGTCTCAGGAAAAAACCCTCCTGAACCCTGAGTGTTCCCCTCGGTAGCTTTAGAGTCGAGGGGGGAAAAAACACTTTAGCATGGAAGATAAAATATATCAGGAAATCTGCAGGTCTTGAAAAGTTAATTTCTCTAAAGTAAAAAGACCTTAGAAGGTATTTAAAAAGTCTTAAATGTAAGTTACAAAATGTGAATATAGGCTATCAGAGAAAAACTTGAATGAACTAAACCATCAGTTTTCTGCCACTTAGCTCACTCCAGGTCATGTGATGTGATTGGCTCGGCTATAACTGTAATCACTTACTAACTCAAGAGGTTATGTTGTTGGTTTGTTTGTCAACACGATAACGGATAAACTGCTGGACGAATATTATTGAAACTTGTTGGAAGGGTGTAACATTGAATTTAATTTTCTCCGAGTGCCTCTCTAGTTTAAAATGACTTTGTTTTTCCCGCTTGAGCTTCTGGAATCAGACGAACTTACCCTCCCTTTGTTTTCTTCCCTCCTGGTTGGAAGCAGCGCCCCCTCCTGGGCGCCGGGAAGCGTAACTCCCTGTTGAGCGGTCGTCCCATCTGGATGGAGAAGATGGTCCTGGGTCGGGTCAAAGTCCCTCACACCTTCTCCGTCCATACCTACACTCGACCCACCATCTGCCAGTTCTGCAAACGTCTGCTGAAGGGCCTCTTCCGCCAGGGCATGCAGTGCAAAGGTCACCACGCAAAGAAATGATTTTATTCAAACTATTAGAAACTCGTTTTGCATGTATTGGGACTTGAATGAATGTTTAATACATTTTTTTTTTCTACATATCTCTTTTTGTTTAGATTGTAAATTTAACTGCCATAAGAGATGTGCGGCCAAAATACCTCGCGACTGCCTCGGTGAGGTCGACTTTAATGGAGGTAAGTTTACACACACACACACCTGTTATGCTCACTGTGATGTAAAGTTACAATAAGAAAAGACTAACTTCATACACCACACTGTTCATTTAGGTTCATATGTATATTTAATATTTTTAAGTGTTTCTTTATATAAGAAGAGCCAATAGAGGTTATTAAAGCCCTAACTTTACCTTCAGACAAACAACAGATATTGTATTTGTTACAAAGAGAACAGTTTATCTTTTCAAAAATAATTATATCTTAACTGAAGAATGATTTAGAGAAATCTTAAAATGACCAAAAGGTCATCAAGGGGGCTGGAGAGGCAAAATCAAACATATTCGACGTCTCAATCGATAATTTCTCGACAATAAAAATCTACAAAACATGAATAAAAGTTGAAAATTCAAACATAGGTTTACTTCATTTTTAACTTGATTTGTTGTTGGCAACAAAACTATTTAGTTAGCTTGAGGAAAAGATGGTGGTTTGGATTAAAATAAGTATGCTTGTTACGTAACTACCGTTTGTAAAGTTATGTTACAAAACTACGTTAAAATAAGTCAATGTTGACTTGGTTTCACACGGGACACGAACAGTGGTCTTCTTGGTGAAAGTCTGTTTGTCCTCCAAAATAGCTCCAATTTAAATCGTATAAACTATATTTCTAACTCTTGTTATGACATAAAATCCCCATCAAGATTCACATGAGAGGAAGTGAAAGTAGCTCCTAAACACCAAAAAATGAGCATCGACTTTGTGTTTTATTTTCTTCATTTTTTGCTCTGTTGTTTTTGTTATAGTTCAATTTGTAACTTTGTTTAAATAAAAGTTCATCATTGTTTATTGTTTTCCAGATCACTTCAACCATTTTTTTGTAGCCAGCACCTGGTGGTCATTAGAGGAACTGCAGCTTAATGAAATCTTGAGAAACGTTTTTATAAAAGTCTTCTCGGTTATAAGTTGTGTACTCAGAATCTTTGTGTGCTCCTGCAGAACCAGCCAGTCCCAGTCTGGACTCCGAGGCGACGATGGAGGTGGACAACTGTGACGCCAACAGCGACAGCGGCCACAGCATGGACGAGCAGGACGACAAGCTCTTCTTCATCGAGGGTCCCGGCGCCGACGACGAGACGCTCAGAGCCATCAGGTGACGCCGGTTCGACTCCGGATTGATCCTTGTGATCCTCCGGCTGCGAGATAGATAGACAGAAGCATGCTGGGTCTAAGTGGGTACTTTTAGGGGCCAAATGCCAGCTTCAACTTTTTAAAACATCTTTGATGTGGCTTTACTAAGCAGATGCTTTTATTTATTTTGCTTCAAAGCTTTAAGTCGTAAAATCTGGCAGTTTGAGAAACTTATTGAGTATAAACTTAACTTTTTGTCCATTTAAAGTCAGAAAGAAAGTCATTTTGAGTTGCTGCTCATCCTTATAATGTCTCTTGTGTTTGTGTGTTTGTCCTTTCTGTCTCACATGCAGCCCGTGCACCAGCAGCAACATCCCTCTGATGCGAGTGGTTCAGTCCATCAAACACACCAAGAGGAAAAGCTCCACGATGGTTAAAGAGGGCTGGATGGTCCACTACACCAGCAGCGACAACATGGTGAGGAGGGACAACAAAACACCAAACATGTACACACAAATACATCAAATATACAGTTAACACAAAGGAAATGTGTATTTAGTCTGGTAATAATGTTACTAACCTCACACAAGTGGCAACAACGAACAATCTTACTTGTATTTTTTGTCTTTTATGTATAGAAAGTGTATATTACGGAGGGAAAATCCTGAAATTCAGAATGTCTGTCATCCGTCCTAGTGACAATAATGATTTTGTAGAAGTAGACCATATCTGGGTAGAATAAAACCAGACCAATGACGGGGTTATTCTAGATCCTATTCACTGATATCCTGTACTTTTTTTGCTTCAACAATGCAGAAATATGGCTAAAAAAGTAATTATATTGAAATAAAAGGCTTTTGAATCTATGAAGTTTTTGTCCTGATGAACTTTGTTTCGTCTTTCCAGAGGAAGAGGCATTACTGGAGGCTGGACAGCAAGAGTCTGACTCTGTTTCAGAATGAAAGTGGAGCCAAGTATTACAAGGTAGGAGACCCCGGTCGGCTCGGATCTGCTTTCAGCCGCCTCGGCCAAACAAAGCAGCGACGTGAAGGGAAGAGCGGGTTCATACTGTACAGTGACATTAGACATCACTGTCTAATTATAACCAGGTCGTTCACTGGAATTATCCTCCTCAGGTCGGGATGCTGTGACCTTCCACTAAAGGAAAATATGAGAAACACTTAAATCAACATTTCAACCATTTGTGATACATGTGGTGACAAGTCGTTTCTTGAGAAATAATTTTAAGATTTGACTCACGTCACCGAGAGATCCATTTCGTGGCTTTCTCAGCAGATGGAGTTCCCATGGGCAGTGAATGCATCATGATTAGTGTAGGAACCCTGGTTTTACTGTGTTAATAGTGTGGTGTGAGATCAGGAGTTAAACATGAGGTTAAAGGGATAGTTAGAGGAACTTATGCAGAGTCGGTGTGTTAGCTGCAGTAGAAGGCGGTCGGCAGTTCTCTGTGCTCTCTTCAAAGCCACCACCAGACTCCTTTGACAAAAACTGTAATTCTGCATCACAGAACACAGGGGCTTCTGGACGACCGGTTAGTTTCTTTATGTTATTGTGTGACTTTATTGAATCTGAACGAACCCTTTAAAACACCAAAGTCACAAAATAACACAAAACAAACTAACCGATGGAGGCAGCGGTGGTCTATGCTCTAAGAGGTGAAATTACTGTTTTTGTCAACGGAGTCTCGTGTCTTATATTAACTTAACGTAACTATCCCTAAAAAAAAAAAACTAAAAAAAAAACATTACAATTTTTTTTGGATTTCCAAGAAGGAAGATGAGTTCCCTTGAAATCTGAAATGACCTGGTGTGATTCCAGTGCAGCTGCAGCTCTTTTCCTTCACTATCATGTCCCTCTCTCCTGCTCCACCTCCTTTCATCTACCGGCGACATGCTGACCTTTACCACAAAGCGCTGCTTCCTTTGAAGAGAAAGCGAGAGCGCGGTGAGGGAAGGAAGGCGGGGGAAGATGTGTGGTGGAGGGGTTTTTTTCTGGTCGCTTCCCTGCCGTCTCTCTGGCCCGCCGCCTCGCTGCCTCGTGCCCAAAAGCGGCAGAGGCACGTCCTGCCTTTTAATAAGAGCGGCAGGATGAATGGATGCTGATCGGGGCTTTGTGGTTTCGGGGGGTTTGTGTGGAGGGGAAGTGAACTTTTGGCAAAACACGAAACGTTCAGATGACTCTGAGGGGCATGAAGACACCACTGAGCTGATCGCTCTCCTTTTTTATATGTTTGATCTGGCAACGTTCATGCTTTTTTGGAGAGGTGGAGGTTTTTTTTTTTGCCCTCTGCCAGAAAAGGAAGGAAGGGAAGTTTCAAACACTGAAATTCAAAGAGAGTCTCACAGTTCAGCAGAGAGAGGAGAGGTGTTAGGATGGAGGGAGCCTTTGGATCATTTGCTTCTTGTTGGTTAAAATGACTCTTAAAATGGTTCAAACAAGTCCAAAGTACCAGGATGTGAAGAGAGGAGATGTTTTAAAAGGTTCTTAAGCTGAGAGTTGAGGTAGGTCCAACAGGAGGAACATTCATGGGGCCAATCAAAACCTTCTGTTTTACTTTATATTCATTCTGACTCCAGGAGATCCCCCTGTCCGAGATCCTCCAGGTGGAGCCGGCGCAGGACTTCGGCAGCCTTCCCCAGGGCAGCAACCCGCACTGCTTCGAGGTGATCACGACCAACATGGTGTACTACGTCGGGGAGGACAATGGCAGCCTGCACCACAACCCCGCCCTGGCGTTGACCGGCGTGGGGCGGGACGTGGGCAAGAGCTGGGAGAAGGCCGTCCGACAGGCGCTGATGCCCGTCACGCCCAAGGCCAGCGTCGGGACGGGGCCCGGCCAGGGGAAGGACCACAGTGAGTGACCGGCAGAAAAATACCCTTTCGTCCAACCTAGTGTTCTTAAAGATAACAATATAAATACAACTAAAAGTGCATTTTAATCAAATCAAGATAGATAAGAGTCACCAGACTCATCCTTTAATAAGTAATTACCATGTTTACGTACGACATGTCCTCGAGGAAGCATTAAGAAAATAAGATCCAACATGAGCCCGAAAATGATCCCTGAGGCACTCCACGAGTCCTCAAGGCTTTTAAAGTATTTTAAAACCTTTAAGCTTTACGAGGAATTGAACACACAACCTTCTTTACCCTCTTACACGGTGAAGGAGAGATTTATCTTAGATCAGATTAGACTCTCTTGTGTTTTTATGTTTCAATAGATTCGTCTGTGAAGAGCTTCAAAATATTGTTTCAGGAGACGACGGTTATACAACCCCACGCACACACACGCACACAGGCACACACACACACACACACACAGGCACACACACCACACACACACAGGCACACACCCCACACACACACACACACACACACACACACACACACACACACACATTTTAACATGATTGAAGGGATTTCAGACGATTTTCCGCTCTGATTCATCTCAGGTTAAAGTGTCTTTTTGTCTAAAAAATAAGAGTTTTAAGATTAATCCCAAAATGAGGTTGTCCTGCACTAAATACCTAGTGGACCGTGAACTATTATTAAAGACCGTCGTTCTACAAACCATCGTACTTCAGCAGAAGCAGTGGGCCGTATGTTCAACCTGTTTAGTAATTAATTAATGTCAAGCTTCAGTTTCTTTCCCAAAATAGATGTTTTGTTTTGCAATGACATTACAGACATCAATAAGTTAATGGACACATGATGTAACCAGGATCTTTTTTTTTTTTTGGCATCATCTCAATGACAAACAGTGTAACAGTGCACTTTTATCACTATAATAATAATACAGTGAGAATTACCAACAAATTTCAAAAAAAGTGACCTAAAAATACAAATTATTATGGATAGAAATATTTACTTTTTCTGGAGTCAGGCAACGGTTATCTTAGCTTAGCATGAAGTCTTGAAGCATTTATATTTCTGTTTTTGTACAGATTATTAAATAAAGTTGATTTGTGAGTTTTATGAGGTACCGGTTGGTTGATTTATTTAAATCCAGGCTAGCTGTTCCCACCTGTTTCCAGTCTTTATGCTAAGCTAAGCTAACCTCATTCTGAATTCATCTCCGTACTCAACACACAAGTGTGAGAGTGATATTAATCTTCATCTTCTTCTTCTCACTCTCGGAAAGACGGCGTATTTCCCATAATGTCAAATTATTATATAACTCAACACTTCCTGCCTGTTCTTCAAAGTAAAAGCCTTCCACAGTTGCGAATGGCTTCTGCTCCTTAAACCGCTGGAAGGCTTTTAATGTGAAACAGTTATTAACAACATACAGCACCAACTACAAATCAATAACAAAGAAAACAGATTTTCGCATGAATGGGAAATGATTTCAAAATAAAAGCCTTTTTCATTGAGGCCAATAAAGGCTATTTAAGAATTAACGGTCTGGCTACAGATGCGGAGTTTCCGTGTCTGTTGATAAAGTTACATAAACTCTCTGGATGATGACCTAACTGCTGACCTGCACACCATCGGGCCGCCCACCTACAGCAGACTGCCGGTATCGATCACAGGGAGGGACGACCTGATCAGACCCCCGGGTCAGCCATCTGAAATCAATATCAGCTCATCAGTGGAAATTCACTCGCAGCAGGTTTTTCCTCTGAACAGAACGCGCCCTCGGCCTTTTTAACGTCAGGCTGGATTAACAGTCGGGAGCTCCCTTCATGTGTTCAACGTACTTTAACACAGAGGCAGGAAGTAGTTTAATTTTTGTGAAATCTGGAAAATGATTTTGAGGTCGTTATCGCAGCTGGAAGCATCCTCAGTGTTCTTTCATCAGGTGTTGAACAAACGTCATCTGTTTCTTCAACAACATGGAAAACACAGGAAATGAGACTTTAATGATTCGAAGGTTAGGAAAATAAAAGCCCTCACGTCTGTGTTTACATGCATGTGAGGTTCACGGGTTGCTTGTACATTTATATACTGTGTTGTTTGTCTTCCTCAGAGGAAGTCTCCATCAGCATATCAGTGTCCAACTCCCAGATACAAGAAAACGTGGTAAGTCTTCCCTCGTGTACTCTGAAATGTATTAAACATTTGGCACTTCTGGGCCTCCGTACTCACGGGGGGTTGTACTGATGTACAAAATATAATCTTTATATTCTAACGTCTAGTGAGTTTATATTAGTCACTGACTAATAATCTAGATTAAAATATCTATTGACTTGTTTTTGCTATAACCTGTGTGATCTCTTTGTGGTTCAGGACATCAGTTCAGTGTATCAGATCTTTGCTGACGAGGTCCTCGGCTCCGGACAGTTTGGGATCGTCTACGGAGGTGAGAGGCAGAAAAAACCTCGACATCACCGACGGCACTCGCAGCTCAAACTCAATTAAACAAGGAGCCTGATGTGATGACGTCAAACATAATTATTTATGTCTGAAAATATGGGGAAATTGTCGTCGTTGTGTTTCCTTTTTATTCCACATCGCTCCCTCTGACGCATCTAATTTACAGATTAATAGAAACCTTGAGTCGAGATTTAAAGATGTTATCCTCTGCAGGTAAACACAGAAAGACCGGCAGAGACGTGGCGATCAAAATCATCGACAAAATGAGGTTTCCCACCAAGCAGGAGAGCCAGCTGAGGAACGAGGTCGCCATTCTCCAGGTGCGACGCTCCTTCAGCAGAATGAAGGGAATCAAATCTGAAACAATAAAAGCACAAACAAGCTTCCTAATTTAGGGCTTTTAGAAGCTTAAACACATTCATCTTGATAAAGTATTTGACTGTTATGTTCTTTTTCTATTCTATTTGTTTTCCTTCTTCATTTATCTACTTGAGCAACTGAAAATAAATTAAATTATAATGCACCAAAACTAAGTTTAAAGGCCTCGGCTGCACTTCACCGTCCTGTTTTGCTGACAGAACCTGCACCACCCGGGGATCGTCAACCTGGAGTGCATGTTCGAGACGCCCGAGCAGGTGTTCGTGGTCATGGAGAAGCTCCACGGCGACATGTTGGAGACGATTTTGTCCAGCGAGAAGAGCCGACTGCCCGAACGCCTCACCAAGTTCCTGGTCACGCAGGTCAGCGACGACCGGCAGCCAGATTTTATTTAACCTGCTTTTTAGATCGTCACGTCTCGTTTTTGTCCAAAATATTCAGATTACAATAATGTTAAACATTGAAAAAAACACATCGGAGACGTTGCAACCAGAGATTTTGGGGTATTTTTTCTTTAAAAAATGACTTCAATGCTTCGATACATTTTCTGTTGCTTGACTTATTTAATTAATCATTAATTAATCAGCTCCAGTGTTGATGTCGTGTTTAAAGCTCTTAATCTTGTTTCTGCAGCCACATTCCATCAAACGTTCAGGAGAGAATTTAACAATTTTTAGAGGATGCCCACTTTGTTTTTAATGTTTTTTTTAGTTCACATGTGTGAATTTGTTTTGTGAACTCTGTCTGAGGTCCTTTAAGATCTCCAGGATCCTTCCTGTGACTGTTGAGTGTTGAATGTTCTTGTGTCCACAGATCCTGGTGGCCCTCAGACATCTCCACTTCAAGAACATCGTCCACTGTGACCTGAAGCCTGAGAACGTTCTCCTGGCCTCGGCAGAACCCTTCCCTCAGGTTAGAACGACCCCAAACACTGTCTCTCTTTCTTCTGTCCGTCGCCTTCGAACGTCTCGGAGGAGCATTCACGCCTCTCGTCCTCCAGGTGAAGCTCTGCGACTTCGGCTTCGCCCGCATCATCGGGGAGAAGTCGTTCCGCCGCTCCGTGGTCGGCACGCCGGCCTACCTGGCGCCCGAGGTGCTCCGCAGCAAAGGCTACAACCGATCTCTGGACATGTGGTCGGTCGGCGTCATCGTCTACGTCAGCCTGAGCGGGACGTTTCCCTTCAACGAGGACGAGGACATCAACGACCAGATCCAGAACGCCGCCTTCATGTACCCGTCCAACCCCTGGAAGGAGATCTCGGAGCACGGTGAGGTTTAAATTACTGAGACATAAAGAAACTGTCGAACCACAGCTTAAAATATAATGAGGCTGCAACAATTAGGAGATTATTCTACGTGTTGATCGTCAGATTAAATTGGCAACTATTTTAATTTGCGATTTTATTGTTTAAAACATTTGTAGGATGCTGAATTTTCCAATTTTGTAGAAATTTAGGTTCATAACAGTTTTAAAATGTAACTAAATCAACTGTGTACCAGGAAGAAAAGGATGTAAAAGGTCTTAATATGTTCGTTTCGTGTTCATGTGTTTTATTTAAATATGTTTCCATTTGAAAATGAAGCTGAGACGAGACTTAGGATCAAACATCAGATCCAGGTTTCCTGTGTGGACTTTTAAAGGTTTTTGTTCGTCCTCACAGCCACAGACCTGATTAACAACCTGCTGCAGGTGAAGATGAGGAAGCGCTACAGCGTGGACAAGTCGCTGAGCCACCCCTGGCTGCAGGTAACCACACTGCTCTTTACCTTTGAAATGTAGCTGATCTTCTTCATCAGGAGGGTTTGACTGGGTCAGATTAGTCTCTCATCACATTTTAATTCAAGTGCTGTGAGAAGAGCACAGACAAATGTCATGATGTGAAATGACCAAAACTTTATTGGCAGAAAATGTTGCATTCATGCTGGAACTAAATATATTTTATTCAGGGACTCTAAAACTGGTTCCTGGGTTGAAATCCAACGATAACCTCCTTTTTAAAACCTGCATTCTCTCTAGTGTCCAGCAGGGGGCGACTCCTCTGGTTGTATAGAAGTCTATGAGAAAATGACTCTACTTCTCTCTTGATTTATTACCTCAGTAAACATTGTAAACATGAGTTTATGGTCTCAATCTCTAGTTTCAAGTCTTCTTCAATACAGCATGATGTTCATTTAGTACATTATGGTCCATTTAGAGTCAGACAGACCATAAAGCAGGGGATGCTTTAGGGCGGGCTTACTGTGATTGACAGGTCTCTATTGGAGACGTACAGTATATGGTGTCTCTACGTCACTCCTCCTCACTCCAAATATGGTTTAAAATGTTGTGGTTCTCGTCCTCACACAGGACTATCAGACCTGGGTGGACCTCAGGGAGTTCGAGACGCGGCGCGGCGAGCGCTACATCACCCACGAGAGCGACGACGCCCGCTGGGAGGAGCACGCCGACGAGAGAGGCCTGCACTGCCCCAAACACTTCATCATGTCGCCCAACCTGGACGACATGGACGAGGACCCTTAGCGACCCCCCCCCCCCCGGATGGGTAAAAAACATTTTCGACATGGAAGCAAATGCTCCTCGAGGCGGCGCGTCGTTTCTTTCGTGGGAGGCGGCGGTGAGGCATCTGTGGGACGACACTGTGACGATAATTCAGGTCCAGAGAATTTTTTATGAAGGAACATTTGTCCTATTTCACTGCGATATTTTTCTACAAGCCATACACATAAATGAGCCCAAATAGCCAAAAGCTGGAGGGATAACTTAATTCCCAGAATTCAACATTCAATAAAACGTCTGCAGTCGAGCCGCAGCAGGGCTACTAGCTGAAAGAAACCTAAATCCAGAGCCTTTATATACTGTTTCAGCTCAAATAGCATATTTTTATGACGTCGTTTCAGACTTTCTATGTGATGCTAACTTAAAAACAACATCATGTCTTGATTATGTTCTGAATATAATGTTCATTCTTCTTGATGTTCTTTGTTGGGAGGTCTTTCCACTGTTGGGAAACTCTTTTAAAAAGGAGAATTCACTGATAATAACTTTTTTTTAATTTGTTCATCTGCAAAAGTGAACTTCTTACTAATCTGTAATACTCATTACGCACCAGAAAACTAAATTATTGGATGGATGAAAGCTGGATTATAATTGTAAAGTTTGTTCTGAAGGCGGTGTTTTAGAAAACGTCATGTTACCAAAATCAAAAGGGATTATTCGTTGTACGGTGGCCTTTTTCGGACATCTCAGGCTCAACTCTTACTACTTTTAATGCTAATGTTACACAACAGAATATTAACTTATAGTTAGCATGTCCAACAATTATCAGATATTAAAGTAAAATTCCAATATTTTTCACCCTAGCATTGTCACACGCTAACCTTAGCATGCTAACATGCTAAATGTAAATATGTTAAAGACAAAACAATTCAGGTATTTTTTTAACCTCAGATTTATTTTCAAACTTGTGGTCATTCTGATTATGGATCATGTTAACTCACAACCTCTGTTGTATCGATTCAGGAAAAGATAGCATTGTCACATGCTAACCTTAGCATGCTAAATGTCAATATGTCAATAAGGACAATTCAGGTATTTTATGTCGTGCTAACTTCTTAAAGATTTGACAAATGTGACAATCAACTTGGGCCTTTTAAAACTTTCCAAATAACTAAATTATTTCAAACTTCTCGTCTACGCGTCCAACACAGGAAGTAGCCTCCTAGATTAGCTTTTGTTGCTAACTGCATACTTTATTTTGGACAATTTGCTGGCTAACCTAACTAGTGTTAAAATGATATGTTAAAATACTTCATAGTTAGCCACTTAATTAACCAGTTAGCATAATGCAACATTTAGCATCTTAGCTTGTTAGCAAATTAACGATACCCTGTGGAAAGGTTGAGTTTTAACTTGCAAACATTGAGCATTTTAGTAACATGCTAACTTTAAGTATGTTAGTATCCGTCTACATTATTATAACAGCATTATGATAAGACATGATAACTCAGTTTATCAAGATTATTCTACAAACATTATAGTTTTGCAGAGAAACAAATGTATTAAGTTATTTTCAGTGATTCTCGGCGATGAAGACGAGCTAAGAATCGAGCTGCTAATGATCCTGATCCGACTCCAGCCTGAGAAGTTATTTCACAAGTTTTATATTTTTGCAAGAAATGTTTGTGTCATGTGGACGATTTTTTGACGGGGAAAATATTAAAATGGTTTACTTTGGGAAAATCTCATTTTTACATCCTTGTTATTGAACTGATGCGCTTCTATTTATAGTAACTTTAGGGGTGAAAATCACATCCTCTGAGAGACTTTACCGGGTTACTTTTGAGACATTCGTATAATGAGCATTTTTACAGGAAGATCTGGAATTTAGAGGGTTTTATGGCAAGATGGTGGAAGGAGTCAAAGGTCAGCGGAGATTTCAGACTTCAAAGTTTTCTTTGAAGTCTGAAAATCTCATTCAAATCTTTGCACTTTTCTTTTTTTTCACCTGCAGAATATTCTGGTTAATAATTTACAATGTTCAGTAAACACAGAGCATTTATAGATCCTCACATTTGATAGTTAATGTGCTTTTTATACAACAAACTGAGCCAGAAAGAAGAGAAATCTTGCTTAAATTGTGTGTAATCCCAAATTTAAGTTATGTTTTAAAGGCACAACTCAAACCGTAGTGGTGAGAAACCTTTTAAACATCTACAGGAGGAGGAGGTTTAATAATAAAATCCTCAAATTTATTCCAAATGTATGACAAAAAAGCCCTCCTGAATCAGAGGAAAAGCTGATAACGATCCCCCAGCAGGATGTTTGGTAACGATCATTTAATTACCGATCCTGAACAGGATCCCGTCTGGAGGGACGGCCGCTTGCTTTGGCAGCGGCGACCCCCTAATGCGTGTAACCGAATCTTTTAATTGCCACCTGAGGAGTGGCGGGCTCGTTGTGCATGGCTGCTGCACAACTGTGAGCTCAGCTAACGGCTTCAAGATGTGGACGGAGGAGGAGGGCGAGGCGGCGTAGCAAGGAGGGGTTGACCCTCTTCAGCGGTGTCACGGGTCTCTCTGTCGGTATCAGGTAGGCGACGTAAAACAAAACAGTTCAGGTGTTTTTCATAGTTGTGCATTTCTGATTATGGGTCATGTTAACTCACAACCTCTGTTGGAGAGATTCAGCAAAAGTTAGAATTGTCACACGCTAACCGTAGCATGCTAGAATGCTAAATGCCAATATGTTAAAGACAAAACAATGCAGGTTTGTTGAACAATAAATGCACAAATTCTTCATTTTCTTACATCTTTATATCAAAACGTCTTCACAGTTAACTTAAAGAGATGCGTCCTTTTAGCTCGCTTCATGTTGGACATAGAATTAGTTCTTCTTTTCTAAATCTAAAACAGCATCGTCCCATGAACATGATCTTCTGTCCGAGCTCCATCCATGACAGTGTTCAGGAGAAGCTGAGCTCAGTGAACCCGGCCACAGGCAGCGGCGCCGGGCTCTTCTTCTCCAGCTTCAGCCCCTCTGGTCTGGTGGGTTTGGCCAGCCGGCTGTGGTGCAGCAGGCCGAAGAAGTGGAAGCGCTCGCCCATCTTGGCGCCGTTGGTCAGCATGTCGTAGCTGCCGATCAGCTGCTGCCTGGTGGACGCGTCGCTGCAGTTCCTCAGCAGAACCTGCAAGAGAACCACAGAGGAAGTGAAGGCTTTGAATCAAATCTCAGTCGGAGTTTAATAATTTACTAAATGAACGTCATGCTGTGCTGAAGAAGACTTGAAACTAGAGATTGAGACCATAAACTCATGTTTACAATGTTTACTGAGGTAATAAATCAAGAGAGAAGTAGAGTCATTTTCTCATAGACTTCTATACAACCAGAGGCGCCGCCCCCTGGTGGACACTAGAGAGAATGCAGCTTTAACACATGAAGCATGATATTTTGAAAAAGATCCAGCGCCTCTTAAATCATTTTATATGTACAGTTATGCTACACTCGTATTTTAAGTGTAATTCAGTTTTCCCAAAAAAAACAATAAACTAAGTTAAAGATACATTTTTCTATATGTATCTCAATAATATCATGAATAATAATGTGTCACTAAAGTTCTGCAACATGTTTTTTTTATATCTGTATTACAATTTATCTTAGTATTAAATAAATAAATGAATGATTAATAATCACAATAGCTTAAATAAATCACATTGAGTGATGTATCTCCTGTGGTCAGTGAGGTAAACACCGTCACACTCGCCTGCATTCGTGAGTCGATGCCCATGTTTTTTAGGAATGTCCGCTGGGTGACGGGTCCCAGACAGGCCACGCCCCCTCCGGCCATCCTCCGCAGGAAGCCGAAATCCACGTCGGCGGTGAGGTCGGCCGAGCCGGGCGAGGAGAGGACGTCGTGGAGCCGGTGGCTTTTAAAACCCTGAGAAACAAGAACCAAGAAGTCCGCTCAGTAAGAGAACAGTAACCTTTCATATTCACATAGTTTTATTTAGCAGCAAGAAGGAAAATCAAACCAGAATCAGTTAAATTAAATTAAAATCATGGTGTGAAAATTGAGAGAAATGTCAGAGGAAGAGGAGCGTCGACCCTGGTTTCCTCTTCACTGCTTCCTACATCTGTTTCCTTCAGCTGGAACTGAGGAGACAACAAACTGTCGCTACTTTAAAAAGGTCTAAATCTCAGATCTGTCCTCACAGCGTCTTCACTACGCCGACCTTAAACTAAGCTGTTTGAATCCTCGACATTGATGCAGATCTCCTCTTATAGACTTATTAGGAGTGTCAAAAGTCTACTTTTATGATGCCTTCAATGTTCTGTTGTTGTTGACACCATCATAGAGGTGTTCATTCAATTATATTTGTTATTATTATCATTATTTAATATTATGGCAGTTAAAGGTGGAGTTGAACATGACTGCATTATATTCAGAGGGGCTTCTAATATTAAATATATATAAACAGGAAGAACAAAAACAAACTATATATCATAAACTAAGTCCAGTACAACACCTCCTTTAACCACGACCAGCATCACGTGACATATGTGACGATCATACTCCAGATATGATCATGACATAATGACACCATGTTCCCTAATAAAGCGGTCACGTGGTGCGAGACGTGTCCTCACTCTGAACGTGTCCGTCTTGGTTCCGTCGTGTCCGTAGTCGGCGATCAGCGCCGCGCCGCCGTCCTCCACGATCCGCCGGGCCAGCTGCTGCACCACGACCCCGCCCTCCGCACACACCTCCACGTGACCCCGCCTCTCATCCGCCTGACACACACACACACACACACACACACACACACACACACACTCACTCAATAATAAATCACTTCACTCTCAGTTCCTCTCTGCTGGAGACATCGACCACAGTCCGACTGTTAACCCACACAGTCGGGTTTCCTCACTTCTTAAAGGTGGGCTGGACGATAAAATGTATGCATTTCTTTCATTTTGATGGTTAATAATGAATAGCTACGTCTCTTTAATGTAGAAACCAGCCAAAACGGTTCATTGTTGAATTTTTAGGAACCTCAATGTGTTCCTTAAAATCCACTTTGTGTCTGGTTTGAGCTCTCATGCTGCATTTAAGAGCAGTTTCTTCATCCAAACAGACTGATGATGATGTCGATGATGTCATGCGTCTGGCAGGAAGTTCAAAGTGTGTGAAGTGAGCCAGCGACGCCAAATCAAAACAGACAGTGAGTGTATAGAAGGTTTAAATGTGGACAGAAAACACCAGATGAAGGCTATAAATCAAGAGTTTATCTGAAGGAGTTCATTTCCACATTTAAAAGATTAAAGATGTCAAAATGATCCAGCTCTGTTAAATTGAGTTTGACCTCCTCGGCTTTAAAAAGTCTTGATATTTGTATTTCTAGTTTTGTTTTTATGAGTATCCTCTTGTAGATCCTCTTTAATGACTTCTCGACCTAAAAAAAAAAATCTGGTTTTCAGTTCATTCCTTCAGGTTCTCTCCCGTACGAGCGTGTTCTCACCCGTACGAGCGTGTTCTC